TTGCCCCCCCCCCGTGTCTGAGGAGCCGGCGGTGCTGCGCCCCGCGATCCCGCTGCGGGGAGCGCCCTGGCACTTACCCCGCCCTGGCTTCCCGCCCGGCGAGAGCTCGCAGGTAACGTTTCAAATACCGTAACATTTCCCATTCTGAGTCTATTCATCAAAGAGTGGGCTAACTTTCTGTGTAACGAGCCAGTTGGCAAATGTTTTAGGATTTGCAGGCCAGTACCTGTTTCTGTTGCGTATTTTACCTTTTTTTTTTCAACAACCTTATAAAATGTAAACGCAACTCTTAGCTCCTTTCAAAAACAGGGGGTTGACAGGGACGAGACTCTGATCGTTCACTTCACCCAGCTCTGTGGTTGGAGCTTGGATCTCAGCCACCGTGTGCAGTAAGGACTCGGTTCCTGGAGGACTGCGACCCGCCTGCCGCGACCCACCTTTGGTCCGTTCACCTGCTCCTCTGCGCCTCCTTCCTGCTGGGTGCGCGGGTGAGTCCCGGGTGGTCAACCCGGCCACCACCGGGAACCCCAGACCCGCAGCCACACCCGCCTCTACTCTAAAATGACAGTGCCTTCCTACCTGGGAGCAAAAGCCAAAGTACATACATTGTGATTAAATTAGCATAAAAGCAGGAGAGGGGTATTGCAAACAAATGTATTTAAACATTTTTTCTAGTGATAAATGTAGTATATGACGTAGTATATGTTCACCGTGGTAATTTGGAAAACACTGAAGAATATATAGAAGGAAATAAAAATTCTCTCTAATCCCAAACCCCCACCACATACACACACACACACTATTTAAATGTTTATATATTTTTAGTCCATTTATTTCAATGCCTATTGATAGGACAACCTATTCAATAACTGGATTTTTAAAAATATTTCTTAATAAACTTCTATTGAAGTTTGCCACAGTCAATTTTAGAACAAAACACAGAAAAGTGGGCAAACTATAAATATACACTTCAGTAAACTTTCAAAGACTATCACAAATATACTCTTGCCACCACCGTGGAGATCAAGAAACGACCATTCCCAGCTCCCTTTATCCTGCCCAGTCAGGGACAACTTTCCAAGTACAACCATTGTCTTACGCGCAAATGCACAGATTAGTGTTCTCTGTTCTTGAATTTCATGAAATGAATTGAATTATTTTATACATATGATATAGTATTTGATTTCTTTCACTTCATATTACATTTGAGATGCTTCCACTTTTGTTCCTGTAACAGATGTTTTTAAAATGTTTATTTTATGTTGTATGACACCCAATTATATGAATATGCCACAACTTATTTTTCCTTTATACTTTTTTTATTAATTTCGACCTAATTGATATATAGTTCACATACCATACAACTCATTTATTTATATTATACAGTTCGTTGATGTTTTTAGTATGGTCACAGACAGATGCGACCATTGCCACAGCCAATTTTAGAACATTTTCCTCATCTCAGAAGAACTCCGTACTTCTTTAAGTTATCACACCCACACTCCCCATTCTCACTAGCCCTAAGCAAGTACTGATCTACTTTCTGTTTCTATATATTTGCCTATTCCTGACATTTCATAAAATGGAATCATATAACATAAGGTCTCTTGTGACTGTTCCCTAACACTGATATCAAGTGTTCAATTCATTTTATTTCCACGTGTGAGATAATTATTGATAATACTACTCTGTATAACATATATCAATGGAAACAAATGTCCCACACAGAGATGCATAACTCTGTTGGGATATATACCTTAAAAGTGGAATAGCTGGTACATAGGTTATGCTTATCATTAGCTATAGTTGATAGTGCCAAACAGGTTTTCAAATTTATACACCCATAGCAGTGTATAATGAGTTCTCATTGCTCCATACCCTCCCCAACATTTAATAATTTTGTGTTTCCAATTTACATTTCTTTGACGAATGAAAAAGAGCAGCGTCTTTTCATGTGATTATTAGTCTTTTAGAAATCCTCTTTAGTAAAATATCTGTTGGGTCTTTACTCCATTTTTCTATTGGGTTGTTTGTCTTTTTTACCTCATTTGTGTATTCTACATGTGAGTCCATTTTCATTTATGAGAGATGGAAAAAAAATCACCTTTCCCTAATCTGTGGCTTGTATTTTAACTATTTCATTGTCAAATTTTAATGAATGTAAATTCTTTTTTAAAATATATTTTATTGATATATATATTTTTTTTTTTACAGAGAGGAAGGGAGAGGGATAGAGAGTTAGAAACATCCATGAGACAGAAACACTGATCAGCTGCCTCCTGCATACCCTCTACTGGGGATGTGCCTACAACCAAGGTACATGCCCTTGACCAGAATTGAACCTGGGACCCTTCAGTCCCCAGGCCGACACTCTATCCAGTTAGCCAAACCAGCTACAGCAATGAATGTAAATTCTTAATGTTTAAAGACATACTGTTCTCTTTGAACATTTAGATCTGCTAACCATATGAATTGATTTTAGAGTATAAAATCAAGTAAGGTTTAAATTTTTTTAAATTATGACACAGGTTCTTTTCTTGAAAAGACTATCCTTTCCCCACTGCTCTGCGATGTCACCTTTGTCATAAATCAATAGAAACAATAAATCAGTACAGATGTTGGAATTAGTAAACAAGGACTTTAAACTTAAACATGACAGATATATTAAAGAATCTTGCTAAAGAGGATATAAAAGATGGATAAAGAATTTCAAGAGAAATACGGATATTATTTTTTAAAATATGTTTTTATTGATTTTACAGAGGAGAGGGAAGGGAGAGAGAGAAATATTGATGAGAGAGAAACATTGATCAGCTGCCTCCTGTATATCCCCCAGTGGGGATTGAGCCTGTAGCCCAGGCATGTGTCCTGCCCAGGAATCCAGCTGATAACCTCCTGTTGCATGGATGGACACTCAACCACTGAGCCACATGGGGTGGCAGATAATTTTTTTTTAAGAACAAAATGGAAGTCCTAGAGTTGGATAATACAATATCTGAACTTATTTGATTGGATTATCAATAGGTTGGACACAAAAGTAGAAAGGATCATCAATCTAAAGACAGGTCACTAGAAATTATACAAATATAAATACACAGAGGAAAAAACATTTTTTTTAAATAAAACATCCCTGACTCATAGAATAGTATCAAGTGATCTAACAGACATGAAATTGGATTCCCAAAAGGCAAAAAGACTGAGTATGGGGCAGAAAAATATTTGAAAAAATATTCTTAAATGCCCTAACCATTTTGGCTCAGTGGATAGAGTGTCGGCCTGTGGACTGAAGGGTCCCAGGTTCGATTCCAGTCAAGGGCATGTACCTTGGTGCGGCACATCCCCAGTAGGGAGTGTGCAGGATGCAGCTGATGGATGTTTCTGGCTCTCTATCCCTCTTCCTTCCTCTCTGTAAAAAATCAATAAAATATGTTTAAAAAAATATTCACAAAAGCTTTCCAAATTTGATCAAATATATTTTATCCAAGATGTCTACTTGTTTTCAATGGAGAGTTGGTCCCAATAACCTAACTTACCATGAATGAAATTTAGATGTTAGCATAAATAATTATAAAATTTTACATCTACATGAATGAGCAGTAGGTTGCTTTACAGTTGCACAAAATGTAGAAAAATACTTTGTTGGGAGCATTACTGTACTTTTAACATGCATATTGCCTATCTACTAAAGGCCAGTAGTATCAACCAATCATAATAATAGCAGATGTTTTTCAAAATACTCCCTCGGTGTGTAGTATACCCTGCATCCATTGTGAACCCCTCTCTCACATGACCTGTCACTACCTCCTTTCTCCAACCCCTTTCTAACCTCAGCTTCCAATGCTCACATCTCTCAGACAACACTGGTCTCTTTCTATCTCAGAGCTCTTAGGATTCCTTTTTCATTTTTGCAAGTGTTCCTCTCCCAAATACTCATGTGACTGACCCTTTTCTCCTCCTCAGGTTGTTGTTCAAATGTCATTTTCTCAGATCTCTAGATTAAATGAAATAAAACAAAAAAACTTGTACACT